GATAGTGAAGGAAGTTATCTATGATTTAATTTGAGAGATCATTTTAAAGTTTTCTCTTGATTTTTGGTGTGATGCCTTCATTGAGCCAAGTTACTTTAAAATTTCATCTTGGGATATGTTTATATATATTGAATCTTGAAAAAAAAAAAAAACTAATCACTAACCAAGTTGAACCCCTTATCAATTTTTAGAAAATTAAATGGTTATTTTTAACTTTATTAAATAACTCATAATTTTCTAAATTTAAACCTCATTCATGACATCAAGTTAAACACATTAAAATTTTTTTATAACATAGTGGGCATTATATATAATAATGGGGATCTTCTAAATATTGTCATCATTAATTTCAATGATGCATGTCTAATCAAGCAATTTCATGCTAATTATGGGATGCTTTTGATACTTTAATACACTTCTCTATTCTTTGCTCAGAAAGTTTGGAGGTCATTTAATATTTTTAATAATTTAAAATTTCAGAATTTATTATTTTTTAAATTATTAAAACATCTTAAATAATCTTGAAAAAAAAATGAGGATGATTATTATATTATATTAATGTCAACATTCTATAATTATTTAAGATTTTCATTTAATTTTTGCATGAATTTTACTTTTTTTTTTAGTAAATCCATTTTATTGGTAAAATTACCAAACTACCATTTGATTATTGCAAGCATTCCATAAGCCAACATGCCCAAATCAAAATTTCAAAAAATTTCTATTGTAATAATTAAAATATAATTTGTTTTATTTATATAATATTAAAATTTCTTCAAATGCTATTGAGAACATTGACACTGCTTAAACATCTTATTTTAAAATGGTAATCATTTAATTTTTCAAACTCATCCTTCATAATGTCACTTTTTATAAATTAAAATTTTATTTTATATTTTTAAAAAATATGTAACTTAAGAAAAAAATGAAATTCATGTATTTCGCTTCAATCAGTGTACTAAGCTTATGTAAGTACTTTTCAAATTATTTGGATGTTTTCAATTATTAGATAATTTACATACATAGCACTAAATTCTTATGGATTTACGCTTCTCACACCAAAACTTTCACTTTTACATGCAGAGCGCCCAATTCTTTCGTATCACATCAAAAATAGCATTAATTTTCCATTTTAATTGTCAAATCCACCTTTTTCATGCATAGGTCAAGTGTTATGCATGTGGAAATATGAAAGTTTATATGTGAGATATGTAAATCCATAAGAATTGTGTGCTACTAATGTAAATTTCCCCATAAAATATTCAAAATCAAACCTTATTTGATTTGATTAATGTTTCTTATGATAAAATTCTTGTTTGAACACGGTGCATATACGTATTTGGCGCCCTCATCAAAATAAGCTAATTTCTTATCAACTTAGGCTGATCGCCTTTCTAATATTTAATATTCTCTGGCCATATGTAATTTGCACTTAGCATTTGAAATAGAAACCACTCTAAGGTCATATAGTCATCACAGTCTATCTTAGGCTCTTGAGTTGATTAATTTGATCTCAAATCTAATAGTTTATAATTGTCTTAATTGACGTAAGCTTTATATTTCACTTTCTAAGGACACTAGTTGTCTTGCCTTTATTGGTTTATTGATTAATATGGGATTACATTACTTTGGATTAACTTACAAGTCATGTTATGATAGTCTACCTTGGGTCATTATAGCTCCAAATTATATTAAGTGCCACAAAACATGTTAAGATAGTCCACCTTTATTTGCACACCTACATGCATTGCATATGCCTAATTTAATTTTTTGACAAGGCTTAACCATTTAGCTATACTTCATTTAGTTAGACTTACATCCCAAATATGATTATTCTTCTTTGGCTAGGTTTATCCTCAATGCAATCATGCTTTTTTTTATTATCTCTTTCACCCCCTAACCATTCCAAATTTTTATTTATAATCTTTCTATGCTATTTATACTCTTTGCACGCGTTATGAATCTGTACATGGCTCATATCAATCCTTATTGATTATGAGGGACTAAGAAAAGTATCTAATTTTAGGATATAACAGTGAATTTAGATTCAAATGTCTTTATTAAAAAATTCCTCGTAAAATTCTTAAATAATTAAACTGTTTTGGAAACATCAACATTCCTTGCAAGTTCTTTTTTGTCTATTTGTTGAAAGGATCTTATTCCTTCAAAAGTTGTTGGAGAAATCTCATGTAATTGTAATATTTTGATACTAAGGCTTATTGTTTGTCTTTCACTTTTCACAAAAGTGGTTGGATTAACGAGAAAAAAATAAAATCCTAGATCTTAAGTCTAATAATGATAAAATATTTAATATACACTATTTAGACTAACATTGGCCCTCAATGCACATAGAGTCACATTTATGTTTTTTTTGCACTAACAAGAAAAATAACAAATTTTTGTAACACTTAAGACTCCTACATTTACATATCTAATAAAAACCCAATATTTATTTACATAAAACCCAAAAACTCTATAATGTCTAAAAAAATACTACATTTATCTTTTGTTGAAGCTGTACTTGAGTTTCACTTTCCTCTCCCGTAACCTCACAATTTTTATCCTTTCTGGAGCCTGAGTTTCAATTTTCACTGGGAGTGTGAGTGAGTCAAGTCGACTCATGTGCTAGCTTGAGCATGACTTGAAAAGTGGCTTGTGAATTGTGCTTGATGGGCTAACAAGCAAGCTCAAACGAACCGGCTTGAATATTTAGCTCGCGACCCTGCTCATTTAACAAATAATTAATAAAAAATATATTTAAAATATAATAAAATTCAAAAACGTTCTCTTTAAATTATTTAAATTGTTTAAAAAATAATATTTTTACATTTTATGTAAATTTATTTATCATTAATTGTCTCTTAATGCTCATTTCATTATAACACTAATTTAAATTAATATATTTTTTCTCTCTTTCATGTTAAAAATACCTGCTTGAACTTGTAGAATTAAGCTCGAGTTTGAACTCGATTAATAATCAAGTTCGGGCTCAAGCTGAGGGTGGTTTAAGCTCGATTCAACTCATTTACACCCATAGCTTTCATTGATCATTTCTTTTGAAGGTGAATTTGCAAGTATATGAATGGGATTAGCTTGAAGTTTTTTTTTAAGAACTTGTGATTAGTCTGTAAAAGAAATTAGTCAAGTGGAGTATGTCATGAATTGGACTTAGCTCATTCAAATCATATGTTGTTCATGTTTCATTCGGTCTTGAGGTGGCATTCAAATATAGGTTCATATTTGGCTTGCTTAAACTTTTTAATGATCATACTTGACCTATATTTGACTTATTTATATTAATTAACATCTAAAAAATAATTTAACATTTAATTTTTTCTATAAAGATTTAAAAAATTGATTTGTCCTTGATATTTCATATGGAAGTAGTAACAAGTAAAAATTTTAAATAAATACTTTATTTTTTTATACAAATTATTAGCAAATGATTTGAAAACTCTAAATAAGTAGTTGAATAAATTTTAAATTAATATCAAATTAATTTATTCCAAATAAATAAAATAATATATAAGATAAGCAAGCTTTCTTGCATTTAAATAAGATAAATAATTTCTAACAAATTTATTCATTGAAATAAAATATAAGAAAAATTTTCATTAAATTTATATACATTATGATTTTAAATTATAAGATAATATTAATTAAGAAAAATATAGTTAGTTAAATTTTATTTAAATAATATATCATATAACTATAGAGTATTTAACACGTTACATGTTGGAAAAACAAGCACTAATTTGAACAAACATGATCTCCAATATTAATCAAGCCGAGCTTGAGTTGTACATCAAGTGGATTAGTTCATTTACATTCCTCATTCCAACAGGAAGATGGTTGCTCCAATTATAGTATTAATCGTCGTCATCATCATCATTATCATCTTCTTCTACGAGAAATTGAAAATATCATTACTTCCTAAGAAAACTTTATCTTCACCACATATCAATAAAATTTTGGTTTTTTTCACCACATATCAATAAAATTTTGGTTTTTTTTTTTCAAAATTTGTAGGATTTAAGATTGAGTTTAGGAATGTTAGAGGGTGGGTTTGAAGTCTGTTAATGTTCTATGTTGAGCTAAGTATTTATTATGCAAAACTTAGATATTTTCCTTTATTTACATGTTTTGATTTCTGATACCTATAATTTAACCTTCCATATCAACCTTTGGCAAGATCCTAGTGACCTATTTGGCGATCGTTGTAAGTATTACACAAAAATTACGAGAACAGGTGATATGATGTGTGGGTGTAATTGAGTCAAGTCGACTCTTAAACTTTTGTTTCGGCTTGAAAAGTGATTCGTGGGTTGAGCTCGATAAACTAATAAACCAATCTCAAGTTAGTCCCGACTGAACTAGTTAGCTCGTGACTAGCTTAAAAAATATTTAATATAAAATATACTCAAAATACATTAAAATCTAAGAAAATTTCTCTAAAATTTTAAAAAGTGCTAAAAACATTATTTTGTATTTTAAATTAAATGATATCTTACTATTTATCTCATAAGTACTTATTTATTTATTATTTTATAATAATTTAAGTTAATATTATTTATCTCTTCCATAAGAAATAAATTATTTGCATGTTTTGAAATAATAACTGGTTTTTTTGATGTTATGTAATTAAATAATGATTTTTTGTGTATTAGAAATGTGAATATTAGAAATTTTATGTTACATATATAAATTTTATTTTGGTGCTCATATCTTATCTGAAAAAAAAAAACTAATTATTTCTTCAATTTTTTTTTTTCAAAAGATATCTTCAAATTAATTTAAAAAAAAATGAAAGCTAAATCAACTGGACATGTCGGACACCATAAGACGTGACCAAAAAAATGACTGTCGTCGTGGCAACATCCTTACCCACAAGCCAATCGATTACAATTTTGGGTGGACAAGTGAGGAGAATAATAGCTGCGCGGGGCTATATTTACGGGCAGCATAGATCAGGTTGTCCTCTCGCAGACCGAATAGATTTTTTTGCTTCCTTTCTATTTCGTTTTCGTCTCATTCCCTTTTAATCTCCCTTTCTCTCGCTCTCTTCCTCTCTCCCTCTTCTTGTCTCCATCTCCGTCTCTGCTCCTTTGCGTTATTTAAAGGAGTTTGGACTTCGGAGATTGTTTCGGGTTTCCGACGATGGTTATTAGGCGATTTGCGAGGGGCTATATGGTGGCGGGAGGAGGATGTTGATGCTGTTCGCATAATTTGATTTGAGTGGGTAAGTTAGGGATTTGGCAGTGTGTTGTTTTTGGCCGGCTGAAGAAGCGGAAGGAGGAAGAAGTGGGATAAAGAAAATTTGGTTTTTTCTGTTGCCTTGGGAGGAATCATGTCGCAGACCAATTGGGAAGCTGATAAAATGTGAGCTCTCGCCAATTATTTATTTTTATTTGAAAGTTGGCTTTTTGGTTGCTTGATATTGGGTGTTTGTAGCGTTTTTGTATTCTTTTATGTTGTTTGGTCGGGGGCTTGATTTGTTTGGAGTGTTTCATTTTTTTGCGGTTAGGGTTTTTAGGGATTTCAGCTGTGCTAGGGATTAGAACGGATTTGGGGAAGATTTTGAGTTGAGGCTTTTTATTTATTTGAGTTGACATTGCTGTTTTTGAACTGAAGAAAGAAAAAAAAACGGTCTATTGAATGTTTTGCCTTAAATTTCCTTGGGTGATAGTTAAGGCAGCTTGTGAATCAACGTTCTATTTGAGTTGACATTGCTGTTTTTGTTTGCCCTTTGGATTGTGAATTCACTTGATTTAGGAGCTCTGTTTATTGTTCTTAGGGCATCCCGTTATGTTCTTCAGCCATGATTTGTGCTGGAATTGAGGGTATGAGTTTGAGTTGGTCATTTCATCTGTTCCTCTGATAACATTTTCCACCTGTTCTTAGGGCTACACTTCTGTGCTATTTTTTTGGCGGATTTTTCTTTTTCTTTGTAAAGCACTCTGGATCTAAACCGAGCATTTTCCTTTTCCAAGTTATTTTTAAATTAACTTCTCGAATAGGTTGGACGTGTATATTTATGATTATTTGGTGAAGAGGAACTTGCAAGCCTCCGCAAAAGCTTTTCAAGCTGAAGGGAAGGTCTCTTCGGATCCTGTTGGTAAGTGGGAGAGGATGTAATCTCATATTTATTCCTTTCGCTTAATTTAACTTTTAATGGCTTGCAAATACTCTTTTGGCAACTTTCTAAATGTGGAATGGGGTGAGTTTCAGCAATTGATGCCCCTGGTGGCTTTCTTTTTGAATGGTGGTCGGTATTTTGGGATATTTTCATTGCGAGGACGAATGAGAAGCATTCTGATGTTGCTGCATCATATATTGAAGTATGTATTTTCATTTATTTATGTTCTTTTATCTGCTTGCATTTTTATGAGAGCACCTTGTTAATGACTATTTTTTCTCATTTACTTGAGAAAACCATGAATTTACTTCTGGGCAGGGCAATAGTGTTCATGCTCTATTTTGTGAGTATCTGAGCTTATTCCCTTCTTAATTAGTGGGTGCGCTCAGACTGGAGTTCATGAGTTGCATGCCATTTTCTTTGTGGCTCTTTTGCTGGAGCAAATGGCCATATTCGTAGTGAAAACCCATGGAGTTGGCCGGTCTGAAGAAAACTTTTTTTTCATTGAAGATGCATGAATGGGTACTTCTTGTCCATATTTGATTAACCAAGTAATGGCTAATTAAAGGATGTTTTTTGCTTTGTTCAACTGTACATTCAAAAGTTGGGATTTTTATTACAAACCATAAAAACAAAAGAGCTTTGCAGCTTTTGTTAGTATATTTTTTCAATAAAATTTCAAAGAATTTTGTTCTAATGAAGTTGGAAGTTTGTTTCCGATACATATTTTTTAACCAAATAATACATATTAATCTCATTTTAAACTTCTTTAGTTCAATATTTAAGTGTACAATTTTTAGTTTGATGCTAACACCCATAAATCTGGAAGCCTTGAAAACATTTATGCGGTTTTTTTAATTGGTTTTTTAATACTTATATGCTTTTTTTTTATGAAGATAGCATATATTATTTTCATTTAGCCTATTTATCCATATGTGTGAAGTTCTCTTTTAAGCCTACAGTAAATTTGAGCCAAAATTTTAAATTCAATAGATTCATGAGCATCATACGGTTTGGTTTTTGAACCATGTTAACATGGGATTTGATGAGATTTGTTGTCGGATGGTTCTGTCAAAAATTGTTTTATTGATTTTCTCAGTTAGCTAACATATTAAGCTCCAAATGATGGAGGAGCTTTATATATATAACTGGATTGATGATTTTTTCTTTTTTCCTTGATGACCTTCTACTAGTGATGGTATTTATATGGCATCCACAACATATATTGTGGAGTTTTAATTAAATAAGGCAAATAATAGTTTACTTCAATGATAATAAAAAAAACCTAAATGAGCCAATGATCATTGCCTTCATTAATAAATTACACCATCATTACATACAATCATCTTTTCCATGCTATATAATATAGAATGGGTATGTTCTAGCTTGCCCTTGAATATTTGATTAAATTAGTTGTGCTATTCACTTTTTTCTCTTCCATTTTATATTTGGGGCATTAACATAAATAGCACATAATTCTTATGTATTTACATATCTCCCACCCAAACTATCATATTTAGACAGTTTTCAAATTTTTAATATCACGTCAAAATTAGCACTATTACGACTTCTTAAAAGTGAAATACACATTTTCATGCATATGTTTAAAACATCAAAGTGCTCTTGTTGTAAATATAAAAGTTTAGGTATTAGATGTAAATACATAAGAATTGTGTTCCAAATGTGTAAATTGCCCTTTATATTATTGAGGAATGATTGACCATGCACTATTTTAGACTCAGTTAATGAAAGCTCGGGAGCAACAACAACAACAACAACTACCACAACAGTCTCTACCAACACAACAACAACAGCAACAACAACAAGTTCAAATGCAACAACTCTTGTTGCAGAGACATGCTCAACAACAACAACAGCAACAACAGCAACAACAACAACAGCAACAACAACAACAGCAGCAACAACAACAACAAAGAAGAGAGGGAGCCCATCTTCTAAATGGTTCCGCAAATGGCATTGTTGGTTGTGATCCTTTAATGCGGCAAAATACTCCCACTGCAAATGCATTAGCTACAAAGCTGTATGAAGAGCGATTGAAAATACCTTTGCATAGGGATTCCCTTGATGATGGATCAGTGAAGGTATACTGTTAAATTGATATCATTTGTAGGTTCTAAAATTATATATCTTCCTCTTATTATAGTCCTTTTGCTATTTGTGATGATATTCATTTTGTTCATTCTTTGAACAAATATTTCAGCAGAGATTTGGAGAGAATGTTGGCCAGCTTTTGGATGCTAGCCAAGCTTCAATGCTCAAGTCAACTGTTAATTCAGGGCAAGCTTCAGGGTATCTTCTTTTTCTACATTCAAGAACTTAGGCTGTATTTTGATCTATAATCGTTTTTCATTTTGAGGCGTGCATGCTTTGAGCTGAATTCATTTGGCTTTTTTTTCTCTGAGGTTTTTTGCTCGTTTTGCTTGCAATGAAAAATCACTCACTTGTTTATTAAAGTACAGGAGGACAGCTTGCTAAAAATGTTAATTTTGGATGACCAATATGATCATTTCTAGAAGTTGTGCCCAAATGTTTACAAAAGTAGATTTAACATGTTCAAGATCTTATTAGGAATAGATTTAGCAGAAAGGGATGGTGGAAAAGGATGTATAGTTGGTTTAAGGCCAGTGATGATGTAAATTCTATTTCTTAAGATTAATGCAATTAGCTATTGCTGTTAATTTTTGTATGGAAGCGACTTTGTTCTTCCATGATGTAATAGTTGGAAGTTGAAGGGTTTTCTCGAGATACTTGATTGAGCTCTCTTTCACAAGCCCCAATACTGAATGTTAGATTATGTGCTTTCCAAAGAACACTTTTATGCTAAGATTTCTTTCTGCAAGCATATATTATCAGTTCATGCACATTTTATGCATCAGCTGTATTTTATTTTTTTTTGGGTATCTATTGGAGATATGCTATTAATTTGCACAGCAATTTATGGTTTTTTGTTTGGGTAGGCAAATTCTGCAGGGTTCTGCTAGTGCTATCTCTGGGGCCTTACAGCAGGTGCAGGCTAGGAACCAACAACAACCTGGAGGAATGCAGGTGACATATTTTAGAATAATTATGATGATTTTCTATTTGAAATACAGATTTCATTAAAATTTGCATCAGGATATCAAGTCTGAGATGAATCCAGTATTGACTCCCAGAGTTGCTGTTCCTGACGGATCATTAAATGGAGTGCCCGGTAAATCTTCTGCATCTTCTGTCTCTGAATTCTGTTGATTTTTAGGCTTGCACCCTACTGACGTGAAAAGAAAATAAAAGAAAAAAGAAAGGATATATTTTCTTTTCTTTATGATTTGGAGTTTTATGAAAGAAAATAATATTATTCATTTAATTCTAAGAAAAGAAAGGAAATGAAATATGATAAGAAATTTGAAATATGTATACTTTTCATAGAAATAATGATAGGAAAGGATTCATTTACTAAAATACATTATACTTGGGCATTATAAAAATTGATTTGAGCTAAGTTCTCTATACTTTTTGTTAGTTTTGGAGGAGAAAAAACAGATCGTTCATACAGGGAGAATTTTCCATTAATTTATTTATTTTATTCTCATTTATAACTCGCAATCAAACGAAAGTTTTTACTCTAATTATGTTCATTTCTCTTCCAATTCAAACTCCCAGCCATAGTAATAGTATTGAATTCTTGCAACTTCACCAGATATTGGCCATTTTCTTACATTGGCCATTATATGGTTTAAGGTACTATAGAATCTCTTTTATTTTATTTTACTTTTTAAATTCTTGCATTGGTTTCAAACTGTCTGGAGTTGATTTCAGTGATGTGGATCTGATTAATTAATTAGTTAATCTTTCTTTGCTGAATTATACTCTGAATTCACTCTAGATGAAATCCTGTTATTTTTATATTTTAATAGCTGTGGTTTTAGTCATTATTGTTTATGTTGGAAATTTTATAGTATTATTTTTTTATATCGTCTTTGTGAATGCTGGTTACTAAATTTGGGGTTCTATATTATACTCTTAAAAACAGGAATGCTGCCTTTATAGTCTTATGGACAAGCAATTATGATGGTAATTGTTTACTCTGCAGGATCAAATCAGGGTGGGAATAATTTAACTCTGAAAGGATGGCCTCTGACTGTAAGTTCTTCATTGGATAAATTTTTTTTGCATCTGGTTAACCATGCAAGTGTCATCAATAATAAAGGACCATAATCTTACATGTACATTATAACCTAATATTTTGGAAACTTAAGTATTTTAGTAGATTTTACATTAGAAATTAGTTACATCTATAAGAAAACATATTTGTAAATTCTTATGCTGCCATATAATTTACATCCATTTGCATTGCGGTAAAGAAACTATTTATTAGATTTACCAATTCCAAAACTTGTTTAATTTGTCTCGTATCTTTCAGATTGATGCATATTTACTTCAGTTCAAATGTATAATTAATGAAGGATTCACCTGCTCGCCATAACCTTGTTTCTGTTAAACTCCTCATACCCTGTATTTATTGCATGTTCAGGGTTTTGATCAACTTCGACCAGGAATATTTCAGCAGAAGTCATTTATGCAATCTCCCCAAACATTTCATCAGCTCCACTTTCTTAGTCCCCAGCAACAGCAGCTCTTGCTTCAAGCACAGCCAAATCTTACATCGACATCGGCTGCCGACATTGATAGCAGAAGGCTAAGGATGATGATTAGTAACAGGAACATGGGGCTTGGAAAGGATAGTCTGGAGAGCTCTATTAGTGATGCAATTCCAAATGTGGGATCTCCAATACTTACAGGAGGTCCTGTTTTACCGCGTGCAGATACAGACATGTTGATTAAGGTGTGTTATATCAGGCATTTTCTGATTAAATTAATTATCAGCTTTCATGAGAAACAAAATTTATTTTGGGGGCATTTACACTATTCTTATTTATTTACATATCTCACACTTAAATTTTCAGATTTACACACGTAGTACTCAAATATTTTATGTTACACCAAAATTAGCATTAGTGCCACTTTTTAATTGTGAAATACACCCTTTGTTGCACGTGTTTAATGCAAAGCACTAGTGCTGTGCATGTAAATATGAAAGTTTAGGTGTGAGAGATGTAAATACTTATGAATTGTGTGCTTGGTATTTAAATTTCCCAATTATTCTTTACTAGAACCTTTTTCTTACAACTGCTTAGGTTTCTTCTCTATATTATGTTTTTTGTAAGGAGTTGATATATGTGTCCATGTTTCTTAAATCTAGTGCTGTGCTTGTAAATATGAAAGTTTAGGTGTGAGAGATGTAAATACTTATGAATTGTGCGCTTCATATTTAAATTTCCCAATTATTCTTTACTAGAACCGTTTTCTTACAAATGCTTAGGTTTCTTCTCTATATTATGTTTTTTGTAAGGGGTTGATATCTGTGTGCAAGTTTCTTAATTTTGAGACCAAGGATGGAATTGATTTCTAATCTTTTACTTTGACAATCAGGCTGAGGGATCGTTGATCGTAGTAGTTTCTTAATTCTGAGACCTAGGATGGAATTGCTTTCTATTCTTTTACTTTGACAATCTGGCTGAGAAATAGATGATCTTAGTCTAATTTTCTTACTATTCTTTTGCTCTAGTAATTCACTAACTCTTTTACGAGAGCTGAATGGTTTCAATGGGTGATAGGTGCATACATTTTATTATTTATCTATGTGATATCATTCTAGTTTTTCTAAAAATGTGTAAAAGGACAAGGGTTCAGCTGGGGAAGTGGTTGAGGAATAGCGAGGGAATGAAATATGGGAATTCGATGGAATTTGGACGGTGATAAGTATCGCTCGGCAGCTGTCCCGGCTGAAAACAACAAAGTTTCCAAGCGATGAGGTAAGGATGTCAAGGAAGTTCAGCACCCATTTCTGCACAAGTTACAGATATTGTTTGCAAAAAATAAAAAGGAATCAACACTCCATTAGGGTACAAATCAGAGATATAATCTCAAAACACAAATTGAATCAAAATTCTTTTAAACTAGAAATTAACAATATATAAATAGTTCCTCATGCAAAAAGTCCCACTTCTAGTGTTTCTAAAAGGCGTGAAAGGACAAAGAGTTTAGTCGGGGAAGTAGTTGAGGAATAACGAAGGAATGAAATATGGGAATTGAATGGAATTTAGATGGTAATAAATATCGCTCGAGGGCTGTCCCTATTGAAAACAACGAAGATAGCATTAAAACGACAAGATAAGGATGTCAAAGAAGTTCATCACCTGTTCATGCACAAGCTACATACACCACTTGTAAAAGAAAAGGCACAAAACTCTATTAGGGTACAAATCAAAGATATAATCTCAAAAACACAAAGACCGAATCAAAAGTCTCTTAAACTGGAAATTGACAACATATAAATAGTTCCTTAGGTAAAAAACTCAACTCTAGTTCAGAAATATAAGGAATTTTGGCTTCACAAGATTGACAACAACTATAGGGAAGAGAATTTTGGTTTTGGTGTTGAATAGGATGAAATCCATTTCTTCACATTTGCAGGATCACGTGAATTCGCTAAATCCCGAGGTTCCCGCGTAGGTGGGATCGTGAGATCACACAATCCCGCGACCGCTTCCTTCGCTCTCATCCACCCTCTATCCTGTGTTCCCATCGTGTTACACATCATTCTATTCTAGTAGGATGAGCTTCGTCTTTTTCACTGGAAGCTTCACGAAAAGACTTATCACCACCATTATAAATCCATCACTGTGATGTGTATGAGACAATCCCATTAGAACATATATTCTCATGTCTATCTCAGGCAGATCTAAAACACATACGCCATTCTTAAACACATCCTGATAAAATTAGCTATCTTTCTTTGGAACAATTAAAGCTGAGTATTCCCACGAAATAAGCTTTGAGCCATTAGATCTGTAATCTACTTCTCCCACTTATACTTGGTTTGGTCCGATAAATAAATAAATGTCTGTAGAAATTGACTTTGGAATGACATCCATGTCATGGTGAACCACTCTCAGTGCAACTACACGGGAGATACTATGTCGCGTCTTTTTTAAAATTGGCTCCTGGGATACGTTTTTTTCTTAGACAATCGATGTTAGTTTTGCCGGAGTCTTTTTAATAGGCTAAACTTGAATTACTAGCATCTCTTTCTAGTTAGTTGGAAGTTGAGACTCCTCTCTGATATCTTCATTTTTTCCCGTCACTACTCATTTCTTGAATTGTTCCTTGCTCAGTGAACAATATTATTCGTCTGTTTGGGCAATCTGACTCAATATGGTTAAAATCATGGCACTTGAAGCACTTTTAGGTTAGGATGGATATGGGAGTGTTGGCGCTGGTAAGCTCCACCTTTTCTCCACTCTTGATGGGGTTGGATTCGGATGATCCGCTAAGTGTACTCTTCTCAACTGATCTTAGAGCTGAACACTATCTGCGAGGTGCGTCGTTTACTTAGTGATGTTTCTTCACCTTCAAAGCTAGAGTTTGTACATCGAGTGGGGACTAATTTCATTGCAACATTACCTCATTCCTTATAAGTGATCTCAATCCTCCAATATATCTTATCAGAATGAGCTCCTCTTGTTCAATCAACTCACATTTCAACACGAGTTCATGAAATTCAAATGTGTACTCTACAGAAGTGTCTCATTAGCGTAGGTTATGGTGTTTTATAAACATGTCATTGGTGACAATGTGAGGTAAAGTAATTGCGTTGTATTTTCTTTATCATCTTGAACCAAACAATAATTTTGCTTTTCACTTTACGCTAGCATATACACTTCAAGTTTTGCTACCACATAGATGCACTCTTCTTTAATTTGATAACAACTAGTTTTACCCTTCAGTTAGTTGGGATGTTCTTGTACTCAAAAACTTGTTTCGCTCTCTGGAGCTATGCAATAAACTTGTCTGTGGCCATGCGAACTTCAGAATCTGGTAGGTCCACCTTGACTCTGAAATCACTTTTTCTCTTTCTATACTCAATGTTCAATCGACACGACATCATTTCTTCATCACTTAAAAGCTTCTTAGTGGAAAGGATTTTCACATCATTCACCTGTGTGTTCAATGTTATTGTTGTTGGTGCCTTCTCCATGCCATCTTCTAAAATCAATGAGCCTCAATTGCAATTTGTTGATTTTACGCTGCATGTTTTCAATGGCAATTTTTTTAGCATCTCATTGAGGGTTTCTCCTAGGAGACACAACGTGCTTTCCTCTTGATCAAGCTTCTGACGTGTGTATGTTCACATCTCATAGTTGGTCGGGGGCTTGGGATTTGATATAGGTGTTGGGGTGAAATATTAGTGAAGGTAGGGAATTTAGATTTTGAAAAGTTAGGATTAATGCTAGATATTGTAGTAGGAATGATTTTGGTATGGTGAAATTTTTTATAGAATTTCGGATTGGGTCAAAAAAATGACCACAACAACAACCACAACAAAGCCTTAATCCCACTACGTGGGGTCGACTACATGAATCCTTTTTCTCCATTGCGTCGCGTCATATTTAGTGTCATGCGTCATATTTAGTGTCATGTTTTCATTTAGTTCTGATAAATTAAGATCATTTTTTATACAGTAAGCCCAAGTCTTCCTGTGTCTACCTTTGCCTTTCTTAACATAAGTTGAATCTAAAACATCTACTTTCCTAATCAAATCATCAGATGGTCGATGCTTAATGTGACCAAACCATCTAATACAACTTTCTCTAATTTTGTTTGTCGTGGGAGCTACACCAACCCTATCACGGATATAATCATTTCGCATTTTGTCTCTAAGTGTAAAGTCACTCATCACCTAATCATTCTCATTCCGACAACACTTAACTTAGTATTATTCTTCTATTTTAAAGGCCAGCATTCAACGCCATAGAACATTGCAGGTCTCACCACTGTTTTATAAAATTTTACTTTCAGTCTAAGCAGTATTTTTCTACCACACAAAAGGGTCGAAACATTCCTCCACTTCAACCAACCAACTTGAATTCTACTATTAACATCCCACAGATCTGAGATATCTAAATGGTTCACATCTTTTAATAATTTGATCACCCAAAGTTACACTTTTGTCACTTGAGCTACTACTACTAAAATTACATTCCATGTATTCAGTTTTAGTTCTACTCAAATGAAGGCTTTACTTGAGCTGCTACTACTAAAATTACATTCCATGTATTCAGTTTTAGTTCTACTCAAATGAAGGTTTTTAGACTCTAATGTAAACCTGCATAATTCAAGTTTTTCGTGGATTTTCGTGGGCTTTTTCTCGTCTTATCTAAGAGAAGGATATCATTAGCAAAAAACATACACTAAGGTACATCCTCCTATTTAAGCGTGGGCTTTTTCTCGTCTTATCTAAGAGAAGGATATCATTAGCAAAAAACACACACTAAGGTACATCCTCCTATTTAAGTGTTCAGTAAGACCATCCATAATTAAAGCAAAAAGATGTGGGCTTAAAGTCGATCATTGATGTAATCCAACAGAAATAGGAAAATATTTTGTCAATCCTTCTTCAGTTCGAACACAAGTAACAACTCCAGTATACATATCTTTAATGACTTAAATAAAAGTCATATCAACACTTTTTTTCTCAAGAACTCTCCAAAGGATATCTCTTGGAACCTTATCGTAAGCTTTTTCTAAGTCAATAAAAATCGAATGTAGATTCTCCTTATTATCTCTGAACTTATTCATCAAACTTCTCAATAAATGTATAGCTTCCATAGTAGACCTGCCGACATAAATCCAAATTGATTATGAGAAATCTTTGTAATACGTCTTAACCTATGTTCAATTGCCCTCTCCCCTAATTTTAATGTACGACACATCAACTTAAACATCAATTTAATTCCTCTATAATTTGCACTCTTCTGCATCCCCTTTATTTTTCTTAAAAATGGGAGCAAAATACTCTTCCTCCACTCCACAGGCATCTTTTTAATTTTTAAAATAATATTAAAGAGTTTCGTAAGTCAGGAAACTCCCAAGTCTCCTAAATATATCCATACTTTAATTGAGATATCATCAGGTCCTACAGACTTTCAACCCTTGGTTTTCTTGAAAGCCTTCTCAACTTATTTTTTACTAATGCGACGATAAAAATGAAATTTTTTATTATTTTTAACGATATTAAGATCACTAAGGTCGATCGTATTTTCAGAAACTTCATTAAAAACTTTATCAAAATAACTCACTCACCTATGTTGAATGTTTTTTTCTAAGAAAAACACTTTTTGATTTTTTTCTAAGAAAAACACTTTTTGATTTTTTTCTTTAGTACACTTTACTTGAGTTAAATCTTCACTTTTATTTTCTCTTATTTTGACTAGTTTATACTTATATTTTTCACCACTCGTAGTATCTATTCTATTATAAATATCATTTGTTTTTTTCTAAGAAAAACACTTTTTGATTTTTTTTCTTTAGTACCTTGAATTAAATCTTTATTTTTTCATTAATTTGGCTAGTTTATATATAT